AAGAGCTTTACAACGATGGTAATGCTCAGTAGGAACCACTTCAACGATACCATGCTGCAAATACTTATCAAAAACTGCAGCATAAGAATCCAGATGTCCTGACTCACGTAAATGGTCACTGAACTTACGATCGGCATCAAGAGCCTTTTTAATAGCATTTAAATCAGGAATCACTGGGCGCTTACTACTGAGCCACGGTATACCATAAGTAAAACGATCCACTACTGTCGTACGACCTTCTAAATCAATATGGTTATCTTTGACAAATCCTATAAACCGAGTCTTATTGCAACCCTCGACATCCTCATCAACAATATCAACTGAGGAAACTTCAGGCTCAGTATCCGAGGCCAGAAGAGTGGGTCCACAAAACTCTTCGAACCTTGAGGAAACCTCACTAGACAGTATCATATGCAACTCGGATTGAGGCTCCTCAGGCTCGCACAACATCATGAAATTCAGACCCATTTCCTCTGTATCCCCGAATTGAGACTCCGAAGCCGGGTGCAAATAAGAAACGCTGTTAGCAATTATAGTGGCATCAGCAGCAGCATGAGTCTGAATCCCAGCTTCTTGAGACTGCTTATCATCAGTCAAACCGATAGAACGAACAGCGGAGTCAGCAACACCGGATTTAAGAAGTATCGAATCAGGCGACAGATACAATACTAGATTCATACAACGTAGGCCTGCCATACCTAATATCACAGAGGTAGAGAGAATTGGACTCACAAGACACCAAACTGGGATCACATCTGACTTGCCAGGAGCAGAAAAGTGCAATAACACAGCAGTATTAGAGGTAAACTTGCGACAATCAGCCATCATAACCTCCACCTTCTCTCCTCTTGTATCATGTATGTAGTCAGAATGATCTCTCACCCAAGCTTCAGCTACGAAGGACCTTGCTGCCCCCGTATCCAAGAGAACTCGATGTTGCTGAGGTTTGGAATTAGAAGAACGAGAGTGCACCATCATACCAGCTGTCAAGGGTGATACACGAGCCGCAGTTGAGGCCGAAGAGTGAGCAAGCCAGGTAACATCAGTCGCAGGAAGGAGAGAGTACGCATTGGTCGTAGAAGTACCCTCACCTCCTGGCTTACTCTCATGAGTCGTAGGAGTGGCCTCCTTCTGATGAGATTCTTGAGAAGGACTCGATAAGATCCTTCCTCTACACACTGCTGG